AGTAAGCCTAGGAAGACTTCTGATTTTCATTTTATGTCTTATACACTATTTGAACTTTAAATTCTGTGCCTATATGACCTCCATTTTTTAAGTAAAAGACCAAAAACCATTTCAGCACAATATGAACAGGGTAATACTATTTTTTGAAAACAAAAAAATAAAACTGATTATATTTCCATAAAAATGTCTGGAAAGATATTCTCTAATACGCAGCCAGCAGCCATCTTGTTGTAGAGGCTTTTCGTATGATTTTAATTTAATATTTTCTTATTGCTTATTTCTATTTCTTATATTTTTACATTGAATATATGTTACTTGTGTAAAATAATTTAGTAAAATATGGTTATAATTTTATCCAATTTTATCCATATTATGACTACTGGATTGTGTTCAAAGAACTCTCATTTTGATTTAAGATCCTAACTGTAATTTTAAATTTATATTGCTTTCATCAGAATTACCTTAATATGAGTGAACATAAACAATGATCTCGCTACTACAGAGGTGTTTAGAGAGGGATAGACTATCGTTCATTGGCCATACCTTTAATACCGGTAGATAGTGGGAAGGAGGGTGGGGAGCACTTTGGATTTATCTTCTTAAGAGGAATGGTTTTAAATAGGAAATATTACATGGGGGAGGGTATAGTTCAGTGGTAGAGGTATGTGCTTAGCATGCATAAGGTCTGGGTTTGATCCCCAGTACCTCCATTAAATAAATAAAAATAAATCTAATTGCCTCCCTCTCCCCCACAAAAAAGAAAAATAAAATAAAATAAATAGGAAATATTACAGATGAGATGGATAATGGACTAATCCAAAATTTGAACATGAAAAAGACATTAAACTAATGGTTTATCATTTATCACCTCCTGTTTTACTATTGGACATTAGTAATGTCTCAGTATTCAGCAATCACAACTGTTTTTTCACTTCCCAAGAGGTCTTTTCTGTTATGGCAAAAATAATCTTCCAATTGTAAGGTGAGGCAGAGAGACCAGAAACCCACATGAGAAAACCTGCTCAAAAGTTCTCATGAACCTGCATTATCGAATGGGCTGCCTGACTTGCTGATTCTCAAGGATTAGATGATCTCCTGTACAATAATCAGGGCTATTTTCTTGCCTCACATGCTCATTTGGCCTCTAAACTACTCTAAAATGATGAGCCTTGGAGAAGAAGAGAAGTAAAGTGAGATTAGTCAGGTCAGTTTCCTTTTACTAACGGTGGTCCTTTTTGCTGAATATGAAAGTTGAAAACTGTTTAAAAACAAGAGTGTCATGGGTATTTTGACACGGGTTGCTTGGATCTGTGGGTTGTTTTGGGTAGTACGGCCATTTTGATAGTGTTGCTTCTTCCAATCAGCACTATCAAAGAGCATAAGCTATCTTTCCATTTCTTGGTACAGTCTTCTATTTCCTTCATTAATGTTTTACAGTTTTCAGAGTATAGGTAACCTCCTTGGCTAGGTTTATCTCTAGGCATTTTGTTGTTTTTGATGCAATGGAAATGTTTATGTCAGTTATAAAATTCTGGTTTTTGAAGTGGAAAAAAAAAGTGAATGAAGGAACACAGATGGCTAAAATAACCTTTTTTATGGGTGAGTTGTATTCCATTGCATGTATATATGCTACATCTTCTTTATCCATTCATCTATTGATGTGCACTTAGGATGCTTCCATGTGTTGGCGATTGTGACTAGTGCTGCCTTTAATAGCAGGGTGTATGTATTTTTTTGAGTTAATGTTTTCGTTTTCCTTGGGTGTATGCCCAGGAGTGAAATTGCTGGGCCATGTGGTGGTTCTGTTTTTGGGTTTTTGAGAAACTTCCATATTTTCCATAGTAGCTGCACCAGTTTACATTCCCACCAACAGTGTATAAGGGTTCCCTTTTCTACACATCCTTGCCAACATTTTTTATTTTTGTTGTTTTCAATGATGGCCATCTGACAGTTGTGAGATGGTGTCTCATTGTGATTTTGATTTGCATTTCCCTGATACTGGTGATGTTGAGCAACTTTTCATGTTCCTGTTGGCCATCTGCATTTCCTCTTTTGGAAAAATGTCTATTCAGTTCTTCTGCCCATATTTTAAATGGGTTGTTTATTTGTTTGCTTTTTAATTGAAGCATTGTTGATTTAAAATGTTGTATTAGTTTCTGGTGTACAGCATGGATGGACTTGGAGGGCATTATGCTAAGTGAAATAAGTCAGACAGAGAAAGACAAATACTGTAAGATGTCACTTACATGTGGGATCCAAAAAAAATACAACAAACTAGTGAATAGACTCACATATGTAGAAAAGGAACTAGTGGTTACCAGTGGGAAGGGGGAGGGGCAAGACGGAGGTGGAGGATTAAGAGATATAAACTATCAGGTATAAAATAAGCTACAAGGATGTATTGTACAAATGGGAAATATAGCCAATATTCTATAAAAACTATAAATAGAGTATAACCTTTAAAAATTGTGAACCACTATATTGTTTACCAGTAACATATAATATTGTGCATCAACTATACTTCAATTTAAAAAATATGATACTGTAAGATAAATAAAGTTTTAAAAAATGTAAAAAAAAGAAAAACAAGAGCTTGAATCGATCATTTATGGATTTCAGTCCTGCATGTTCATTTTTTCCAAAATATTGAACGTCAAGAAATTAATCTTGAGCCTCAGAATTTTAATCTGCTTTGGGCTTTGTATCTTTTATGGAATTTTCCCAAACCACTTATATTAGAAGGCTGATCATGAAAGAAGCAACTAGGAGTCCATTCTCTGAAATGAAAATTAAACGCACATGTAATGCTCAGAATTGCCCATATGTGATATCAATTTCCATTGCTCTCAATACTCCAGAGCAACTAATATTAAAGATTTAACTTTGCCTTTTGGTGTGTGAGAGAGAGAGAGAGTGAGAGTGTGTTGTGTGTGTGTGTGTGGTGGGGGCAGGGGGAAGTGAAAAGTGAGAGGAATATTGAAAGTGGCGATAGGCCTGAGGTTTATACGTTAAGCTGCTGGATATTCTCTGGTTATGTTCCAATTAATCTCCAGCAATCTTTTGCCTTTCAGATGTTGTCCTTGGGGGCATTCTCAGTATCCCAGGTCTGGGTCATTCCTTCCTTTCTCTTCCTCAAAATAGCCCTTTTGGATCCTTGGAGAAATGAGTGACTTTAGGCAAAAAATATACAGAATGAGTCTAAAACACTATGTTGACAAGGAAGCAAAGAAAATATGAAGGACTTCTGGAGTCTTTCAGAAGCCAACTTCAAGAGGTAAAAATATGAGGTTTTAAAATAACTGCCTTTAAAAAACGTATTGATCATCTTTCAATGGTGCAGGAAAAGGAATACATTAAAGACTGGTTAAAAAAAGAGAGAAATAAAACATTTATCCTGACTTTTTTGATAAACTGTACATCAGGTAACCAAATAGTTTATAGGAAAAGTTCTCCTTTAAAGAACTTACAAAAATATTTTTAGAAGAATGCCAGTTAATAAATGAAGTAATCATAGACTCAGAATATCACCAATTTGAATCTCCTAATAATGAAAGGCTGGCGGAAATTTTTATAATGCAGGGATCAACTTAACAACACCTGATTTCAGTGATCAATCCTAACATGACTAAAGGAGATAACCAGACATTATGTACTTTCTAATGTGATACAATAAGAAACTTAAAATACCACACTTTAAGTTTTACTAACAAACAAAGCCAAATAATCTTGAATTTGATGCAGCTTCTAGATTGAACTCTCAATTTACAGGCAATATAGGGGATGGAGGGACACATTTTTGTTTCGTTTCTCAAATACCACAGGGCTGCAATTAGTAAAATCCAGAATGTCAGGAACTCTATGAGACAAAAAAATCTAATTTCCTGAAAAAATACACAGCAAGGGAAAAACAATGGAAAAGAAATTTTATATACTAAAAGAGATTTGAGAGACATGTAAAATAAACACAACCTTTTGATGAAACTGCTTGGATCTGGATTCAAAGAAACAACTATGAAAATGTCTAAAACATGGGTAAATTTGAACATTAATTGTATATTTAATATCAAGTAATTTATTGCTTTTTGTTTTAGCTGTGATAGTGATATCATTTTTTTTTTTACAAAAAGAGTTCTTTTGTTAAAAGATACATAGTGAAAAGTTTAGGGATAAATTGATATGACGGTTGGGATCTGCTTCAAAATAACCCAAGGAGGGAAAGAGTGGAGTTACAGGTGACATATGACTGGTTATTAGTTAATAAATGTCTGGTTGAAGCTGGATGAGGTGCACACATGGCTCATTATACTGCATTTTCTACTTTTGCACATGCTGGAAATTTTCCATAATTAAAAAAATACCATGTTTAGTTTCAGCATTAGATTACAGGCTTCTGAACACAGTGGGTATAAGGAAATGAGCAGCAGAATGACTAGTGTTCCAATAGAAAATTTACTTTACTTATAAACAATAGAGAGAATAATAAGAAATTCAAGCACAATGGCTTTAGAAGCTAGATTAGCTTATTTTGAACAATTACGTGATGCACATTCTATGAGGGATTAAACTTTAACACAGCAAGGCTTTGAAGATAAATACAAGTTTACTTATGTATAAATCACTACCTTAGCCAATTCAATTCTGAAACTCCATGAAGAATACTTCTAACGTTTAGGAATTTCAATAGTCAGATAATGTTATTTGATCTATTAACGTCTATGATAAAAAGAGAAAGTGAGCGTCTGATCTTTTGCTACACTGTAATAAACTGGAAATCAATGAAAATTGGATTGTTTTGAGCTAAATGTATGCCTTCTTGCTATGCTGCTTTTTTTCCTCTTTTGTCTTAATTAATGCTTTTCCCCCTGATACTTCATTACAGATCTGGAAGGTAGGTAGGGTAAATTCATGTAGGCCACGGCCTCAGAATACAGCACAAGAAACAATGTGTTAGAAAACTAAAATCAATGGGGAAAATATTAGTTAAATTTTAGCCCACTTACCAAAGTCAATCCTTTCCAAAGCTGTTTCCATTTGGTTTCCCTGATGCAAGTTTGTATTTGGTGAAACTACAAAATGAAAAACAGGAAGAGCTGTCAATGTCTAAGCTATTGAATCAGGTTTAGTTAGCAGTCTGGATGTATCAGTCTAGACAAGAGCAGTGGGCAGAATTTGGCTCTGCGAGGGGAAGAGAGAAGAGCACTGAAGCAGATGAGGGCAGTATGTTACCGAACGCAAGTTCCCGCAACCGAGGCACAATGAGGCCAAACAAAACAAAACATCAGAGTCTGGAGCAGAGAAAGGTTTACTGCATGGATGAGCTAGGAAAATGGTTGGCTCCTGCCCTCAAAACCCCGAACTCCCCAAAGGGTTTCAGCAAAGCATTTTTAAAAGCCAGGTAAGGGGTGGAGGGGGGTGGTCCCAGAGTATGTGATCAGCTTATGTACCATTCTCTGATCGGTTGATGGTGACCAATCCTTAGGCGCCAGAAGGTCTGGGGGCTAAGCATGCTCATGATCCTCAACTAGTTAATTTCTCCCACTCCCTGGTGGCTTTAGCATCTGAAAAACTCAGGAAATATGTATGAGATACTATTATCTGGGTACATCAGAGAAGAGCTACAGCAGAGGCTATGGGGGAGGGGGTCTGTCCCGGGAAGGCCCCATAGGGTCCTACTCCTTATGTATACACCAAAGCTGCCTTCAGTCTCACCACAGTGCCAAATAAACACATGAAAAATGAAAACTTCAGTTTGATCTCACAGCTGAAAACATTCAGATATTTCAAAGCCTTGGCAATTTTCACTTTGCAGGTTTACTCACCTATAACAATATGATTCTATAGATAAGTCCATGAGTGTGTGATTTCATGCAATTTGTTTGGCTGTCATGCCATGTATCAAAGTGACAGTTTTTATCACCAGAAATGCCTTGTGCCCAGGATTATCTTTAGAAAGCTGTGGAGCTTATCAGAGTTTTACAAAGAAGTAAATGGCCTCTATTTCAAAAATAGAGATCCAGAACATGGAGCAGGAGAATAATTGCTGAAATATCAGTCAAGATACTTTGGAATTTTGCCATAATTCTGGCACTTACTAGCTGTGTGATGATGGGAAAGTCACTTCACCTGTTGACCCCAATTAACACATTCTTAAAATAAGCCAGTTGAATTAGATTATCTGCATGGCACTTTCCAGCTCTAATTTGTTCATTCAACACATACTTAGTTCTGGCCTACTATAAGGATACAACATAGCAGCTAAAAGCACGTTTCTGAAATCACAGCGCCTAGGTTTGAATCATGTGTCCATCTTTCACGTGCGTGTCAATGGACAAGATATTTTAACTTCTCTGTGCTTCAATGTCCTCACGTATAAAGTGGGGATAATAATAACCTACCTCATAGAGTTGCTGTAAGAATTAAGGGGAAATGTGTATTTAAAGCATTTAGAACAGTCTCTGGCATTCAATGAATGTTAGTGATTATTATTATGAGCCAAGTATTGGAGCTACAATGGGAAACAAGAATGAAAGAGTCTCTATTCTCAGAAAGTATCTAGAAAAGAAGGGAAAAAAAGAAATGACAAGCATGAATAAAGCTATGACAGCGAAAGTAGTTGCTAGAGAGAAACAGAGCAAGAAGCCACAGGGGGCCTTAATGTAACTTGTAAGGAAGAATTAAACTGAGAAAAGGACAATAAGAAGTAGCTAGGGGAGGGTATAGCTCAAGTGGTAGAGTGCATGCTGGGCATGCATGAGGTCCGGGTTCAATCCCCAGTACCTTCCCCAAAGATAAATAATAAACCTAATTACCTTCCCCTGCAAAAACAAAACAAAACAAGAAGTAGCTAGTTAAGGAGGAGGGGAAGAATATATTCCAGGCAAAGGGAATGGCATGTGCAAAGGCTGTGCTTCAAAAGCTCCTATGGGCTAAGGCATGGTATTTATTCATATAAGTGTAATCCATACAGCAATGACCATACATTAAAAATGTACCATGACCTTTTTTTTTAAATCAAAACATACCATTTTTGATAGTATAAAAGGAATAAAAAAGCAACGGCCGAATGGGAGAAGATATTTGTAGCATATATATCTGCCCTAGGACTCATCCAGAATATATAAAGAAAAGAATATATAACCCGATAGAAAAATGAACAGAAGACTTGACCAACAGATACCTCATCAAGAGGCTCTCCAAAGGGTCAATACACGTACAAAAAGCACTCAACTTCATTAGTCACTGAGACAACATAACTTAAAACCACAATGCAATACCACTACACATCCATGAGAATGGCTAAATTAAAAAATAAAAATCAAGGGCTGACAAGTTTGTGGAGAACCTTGGACTTTCATACACTGCTCGTGGGAATGTAAATTTGTACAGACACTTTGGCTACATCTATTAAAGCTAGGCATATGCATATTTTATGAGCCTGCTACTGCATGCCTAAGTATATGCAAAACAGAAATGCAGACATATGTTCACCAAAAGAGAATGTTCCTAGCAACACTGTGCTTAATAGTTGAAAATCTGAGTGTTCAACAGTGGGACAGATAAATAAACCATGGTATACTCACACAGTGGGATGACAATGAGTGATCTACAACTAAACCCAAAGATATGGAATCTCGCCAACATAATAGTAAGTGGAAAAATGCGCGCACACACACACACACACACACACACAAATTATGATTCCACTTATTGAAACTATAGAGCTGGAAAAAAATTCTATAGTGGAGGTGACTCTGAAGGAGAGTCATGACTTCAAGGGAATGCACGATTCTGTCACCTAATGAGAGTGCCGGTAAAGCACCTGTCTAGGAATCATACTTGGCTCCCTATTTTAAAGTGGATTGGCAATGTCTGTTGGAAACAGAACTGACATTTTTCTTGCAGACCTTTCACAATTAAGAGATGATCACAGCAATTCCAAGAATTGCATGAATTTGCACTTCCATCTCCCTTCTGTATCTAGAAGGATGATCTTTTCAAATCCAGAATCATAATTAAAAAATAGTAAAATGTCAAGGGACCACTGACCATGTATATAATTTGCAACAACGAAACCAATAAAGCAAGGTGGCTGCTGACAAGTCAGGTGTTGTAAAAGATAGGTTGGGCATTTTCTTTATGAATAGAACTTTATATTCTCTACATCTATTAATTGTATTCACTCATGAAAGCATTCATATTGGTGATATAATCCTCCTTGTGACAATCAACTCATGTTCTTCGGATTATGAGTATCTAATTATTGGATTCCTCACCCCTCATCTTGCTCCCATCCATCCTGCCACATTATGTACCCCCTACCCCAGTTCACCCAATCTCGGGTAGGGATAGGGGTCTCCTCATTCTCCATGGGGTAAATGAGAGAATCACGGCAGATCTACTTAACTTTGTGAGGATGAGGCTCTTGGAAAAGTTTTGTAGTTGATAAATTTTCAACCAAATTAAGAACCCAACGAAGCACACTGAATGGTCACCCAAAGGGATCAGGTCCTAATCCTTGAAATTTAAAGATCTTGACATTGCAAAATTATTCTGGATTATCCAGATGGGCCCTAAGTCTAATCACAAGTGTCTTTCTAAGAGTGAGGTAGAAGTGAGAGGATGAGAGAAACAAACAAGGGAAGGCCATGTAAAGACAGGCAGAGATCAGAATGATGTGGCCACAAGACAAGAACACCAAGGAATGCCAGCACCCTCAAGAAGCTGGAATTGGCAAGGAACAGATTCACCCCTAGAATCTCCAGAAGGAGTGCAGCAATGCCACCTTGATTTCAGTTTAGTAAAACTGATATGAAATTATGAACTCCGAAACTGTGAGAGAATAAACATCTGTTATTTTAAGTTTGTGGTAATTTGTTACAGCAGCCAAAGGAAACTAACACATCAACCGTCTCATAAAAGGAAAATATATATATATAAAATATTATGAATATGTGCACATAAGAGATGGGCAGAAATTCAATATGGTATATATCTTTCTTTTTCTACCCTTTAATTAAACTGTTAGCTGATCACAGAGAAGAAGAGGCTCCACCCACCTCCCCGATTCCCAATGCCCAGCACTCTGCCAAGTATACACCAAAGTTCATTTGGGAGTAAATAACTGATAAGAAACAGTATTGTGCATTTCTCTGACATCTTTAGGCACATTAACTTCTAAGTTGAAACTTATAACATACTAAAAATTTAGACACAAACAAAATATATGATCTTGCTAATCAAAGTGTGATCTGATAACCAACAGCATTGGCATTACTTAGGAGCTTGTCAGAAATATAGAATCTCAGGCTCCACCCTAGATTTACTGAATGAGAATCTGCTTTTAAGTAAATTCCCTGATGATTCCTGTACACATTAATGTTTGAGAAGCACTGATCTATAAGATAATCAGGAAAATATAAACTGCTACTGTATAGCACAGGGAACTGTATTCAATATGTTGTAATAGACTATAATGAAAAAGTATATATATAAATATATGTATAAACTATCACAACATTGTAAATCAACTATACTTCAATAGAATTTTTTTAAAAACTTACTTTGCTGTACACCTGAAACATTGTAAATCAACTATATATACTTCAATTAAAAAGGATAAGAAAAAAAGAAAATCTGAACTGATTATTTGATAATATTATGAATTACTGTTAACTTTCTTTAGGTGTGATAATGACATTGGGTTAAAAGAGTCCTTTAGAGATGTGTACTAAGTATTTATGGATGAAATTATATGATGTCTGGGATTTACTTCAAATAATTCCAGAAGTGGGGACAGGAAGTAGATGGGGGTATACAAAGGACAAGTTTGGCCATAAAATGAGAATTATTGAGGCTGAGTGATATATACATGGAGGTTCATTATACTATTCCCTCTACTTTTGGATATGTTTGAAATATTCCATAATAGAATATTTAGGTGTAGGGTAATTTTTATCCCTAGTAGACTTTATGTCTGTTCACTGGCATTCTTATAAAAACTACCCAATAGCTGAACTATAATTTAGATACAACTAATTCGGGAAAAAATACTTTGTAGTGATCTCATATTTCTCTCTACTCCTATCTGCAAGGGAGTTTGGGAGCAAGGGCAGATACAAATAACCTTGGAGAGTGTGCTCATACAGGAATCTGGAGAATTATGTGGCCTTCCTGGACTTGGGTACAAAGCCTTCTCAATGCCCAAAACACGTAATCCGAGCAGACAGTCTTCCAGACACTGTGTACAACCAGAATGCTTGATTAGGGAGTGAGAACTCTAATTGGACAACCCTTTAAGGGATGGATGTTATGGCTGAAGGACAAGGAATGGGATTTTCTGGTAAGTCTTTAAGGATGGTGAGCACAGAATCAAGCTAAGTAATAGCAAATGGGATCCATTTTGCTGGCATCACCTTAGCATCATCACAGAGAAAGTATTTGTTTCCATGGTACATACTGTATGTCTACCACCTCACAGGCAGGGGTCTGACAATGTGCGTCAGATATTTAATTTAGCTCCACTCCCCTCATTGGGGGTTTTCAACAGTGATTACTATTCTTCTCTTTCACTCATCTGCCTCTGTTGCTACCGTGGCAAAGAAGCAGCTGCAGCTCCTCCTGCAATGACTGGTCGCTGGGTGTGCTGAATTTCTATCCGGCTGCAGCAATGTGTTAAGCCTCCCTCTTGCTAGGCAACAATGCCTTCATCAGTACTGAAGCTTCAATTCATCTTCCAGTTATAATTGAAATATTAATTCAATTAAAATCAGTTTACCTACAGAAAACCAGAAGATTTTTATCCCTTTCCCCACCGCATTTTCCTGAATCCCTCAGAATTAGGGAGAAGGTTGTACATATTACTATTCTTTAAAAAGGATGCTCAAATCTCTGTCTGCTCAGGACTCCCAGTTCTTGATAAATAATCGGGTCACATCCAAATTGGAAGTCTAAAAGAACTGACTGAAAAATTGGATTGAACGACATGATTGTGACAGAATTTATCTCCATCTCACTGCTTCAGGAGCTTAGGAGTGGGTGGGTGGGGAGTGAGGAAATTGGGAGCTTCTCTAGCAATGTAAGTTTACAATGTACATCTTTCAATTAAACTGCATTTATTTTTTAAATAAAATTAATGAAATTTGTTCTGCAGTCTTTTGAATGTAAAATCCCTTTAGCTCTTAAATGCATGATAGGTTCTAATCTTTGGGCTCAGTTTATAGGAACTCCAAGTTCCAAGTAGGTCTTTATTATACCAGAATGTAGCTAAAGACTGAGATCAATTACTGCAGTAAGAGATCTGTGGATCCTAACACTGATCCCAGGCTAGATCCCCGGCAGATCCTTTATAATGTGGAAGAGTCAGGTTGAAGCCAAAATGAAATCTCTTGGTCAGAAGTTCTGGATTATCAGTTGCTGACTGGTATCTAATGGGACAGATACTGGGAGTCATTTCAGTCCTCTCCTCACGATCCTTGGGCTGTCCAATCCCCACAACAACAAATGTGTAAGGTAGATATTATTGTGCACATTTTGCAGATCAGGAAATTGAAGCACAGAGATCAAGTGACAAAAACACCTTTTGAAACTTCTATTCTAATCTACTTTGTTGGGTACTCCTACCAAATTTAGTCCAGTCTTCTTCAAAATGGAGTATGTTACACTCCTGATAATACATGAAGACTTTTTCCAAGGAGTGCCCAGGCATGGATTATTTTTTAAAAATCCTTTTCAAAATCTCGACTTCCATATGTTATTTTTTTCTGTTGTAATATCGATCATTTCCTAAGTCCCATTTCACCATCACCTTCTCCTGTTTGACAGAAGAAAAGCATACCCCTTAACCATCCAGAACCTAATTTATTGGTGAGTGTCCCAGATGGTATGCTACAATATGGAGGAACCTCCAAAAACATTTTGCTCAGTCAAAGAAGTCAGACACAACGTACTACTTGTTCTATGATTATGTTTACATAAAATTTCCAGAAACGGTAAATCTATATAGGCAGAAAGCAGAACAGTGGTTGCTTGGGCCTGGGGTTGGGAGCAATGATTGATGGCATACAGACATAAGTGAAAATCCGGGGGATGACTCTATAAACTTAATAAAAAATCATTGTATCGTATACTGACAATGGGAATATTTGTGACATGTAAATTATGCCTCAATAAAGCTGTTGGGGGAAAAAACTCTAAGGAACCATACAAAGGGACAATTAAGAAATACTGCTGTCTAGTTGGACTATGATGTTTGGGAACAAATCCATTTGCAATTCAGGTGATTTCCAATTCTTTGCTTTCAAGAAAATTGAAAGAGTACTCAATCCAGTTATCAGCTGGCAGGACATTAAAAAATAATTCTTGATGATAGATCACTATCTTATTTTTGGCATATAATGCGGAAGGAAGTCAAAGGATTGAATGATATTGCTATATCCTGGATTCTCTGAGTAAATTTCCTCATTACTTACATTTATAAAACTAACAAAAGAGATATAGGTCTGATGATGAACTGTCTCGTTATACTAATAAGTAATATTAATCCATATACACAAATTAATGACAGAAATCCATTACATTTTAAAATGCATTTCAAATTGCATATTCAGTTTTAATGTTTAACAATTATTAATCAAAAATTATATATTTTAGGTTGTTTTGATCAATGTTCTATGATCAATAATGATGAAAATAATGCAAATCTAGGGAAAAATGTTTTAACTTGGAGCCTTATAATGAGAGGATCTATAAAAAATTAAACATGAACATATTTACGCATTTTTGTCACACATAAGTATTATAGGGTAATCAACAAAAACTTTTCCAATGTAAAAGTATAGTGTAATAACATTAGAGTAAAATTCTGTGGGGGTAAGAGTGCGGAAGTAGAAGTTCAAGGAGAAAAAGAGATTATGTAGAATCTTCAACTGTTAAAAAAGAGCTTTTTCCTGAATTTTAAACGAATAATGGGTTTCATTCCAGTATTTAGCTTCCATTTGGTACATCTGTAATACTGACACAATATGTTTGTTTACACACTGTTGTACATGTACTTCAAGAACAGGCAAACTAATAATCCTTTGTGATAAAAGTCAAAATAGTGGTTATCTCCGGGAGTGTTTTGACTGGGAGGTACATGAGAGAGCCTTCAAAGAGTATCGAAATACCCTGAATAAGTGGGTCTGCAGGACTGCACAGCAGTATGCATACGAATCCAGCAGTACCTTCAAAATCTCTGCTTTTCTGTATTCATTTATATCTCAACAAATGCATTAAAAGAAAACAGCGTATTTACAGAACCCTAGAAATCATATCCTTTGCAATTATTTAAACTCATGTGGAAAAAAAATCAATAGGTCATCTTCAAAACGCGCAAAGGGGTAGAGAGTTTGTCAAAAAAAATCAATAGGTCATCTTCAAAACGCGCAAAGGGGTAGAGAGTTTGTCACAGTTCTTTTAGGAGGCATGTGTGAGCAAGAAGTGTGAGGACCACTGAACTAGCCTTCCGGACCGGAAAAGCCATAGCGGCCGCCTCCACTGTGCAGGTGCAGCTCTCCTAGCAGCAGTTTCACTCCCACCTCCAAAGCTGCCCCCACCTCCACCTCTAACCTGGGCCTCTCCGGCAGTCGGTAGCTCACTGTCCACCTTCATTCCGGGACTACACTTCCCAACAATGCAACCTGGCTCCTGGTGGAAGTTTACCTTCCTCACGTTGCATTCTGCGCTGTGACGTCATACATTCAATAGCAGGAAGGGGTAGAACCGGTCTGGGCGCTTTGCTCTCTGGGAGTTGTAGTTTTCCATGCGCGCGTCCTGGCCGGGAAAGAACTACAGAACCTTTCGAATCTGCAAGAGCGAGGCCAGGGGTAGGGGGATCGGGGGATGGAAGAAAAGAAAAGCCGACTTCCGTCTGAAGAGAGAACCAGGCAGAGCAGGAACGGAGAAGTGTTGTGTAAATCCCAGTGGAACCTAGCAATTTGGCGAAGCACTGTGGACTGCACCTGGCATCACCAGATTAAAAACTAAACTGGATTTTAAAGAAATAACTGTAGTGATTTTCTGGTAATAAAGGAAATGCTTATTCATGGTAGGAATATGGTAAAGTATAACGATGAAAATAAAAATCACAGGTCATCATAGCGCCTAGGGACATACACTTACATCATTTTATACCGGGGAGTCTGTTTTGTCAAGTTCTAACAAATGCAATTAAACGCTGCGTGACTTGAAATGGAGAGGTAGCGCTATTGAAAATGAAGACAAAATTGTAGATATTATGTATAACTAGAAAATTCACTAACATCAAATGGAAAACAATAAGATATAGTAAGAGAGTTTTGCAAGGTGGCTGCATATAAAATGCAAAATAAGCAAACAAAAATTAGCTTTCTTAATTTACTACAAAGAGACATTTAAAAATTATAATGGGGGGACAGGATTCCATTCATAAAATACCAGAATTTAAACAAAATACACATAGGTCTTATATGATGACACACCATAGTTTTTTGTCTTTATCTTTTTATTTGAAATAATTATAATTTCACAGGAATTGCAAAGATATTACTGAGAAGTTCTAGGTCCTCTTCACCCAGTTTCCCCAAATATTTACATCTTATTGAACTATAGTACAGTATGAAACCCAGGAAATTGATGTCAGTACAACATATCAGTATACTTGAAAGCTGTTTTATCACAAGTGGACATTTCTGTGACCACAATCATAATCAAGACACAATTCCAACACCTCAAAGATCTCCCTGGTGCCTTTATAGTGACACTTATCCCACCCCTAGCCCCTGGCAACAATTTGTTCCATGTCTATAACTTTGTCATTTCAAGAATGTGACAGAATAGAATCAAACAGTGTATGACCTTTTGAGATGACACAGAGACACACCATAATTAATTGAAATTCATTAATGGGGAAAAATACCATTTTACTGAATGGAAATTTTGAAATTAAAAAAAAGTCAATTGCTTCCAAATATGTTTGGTTAAATATCTCTACTGTGGTTTGTGTAGTCTCACCACATCTTCTTTATCCAATCATCTGTTGATGGACATTTATATTACTTCCATGTCTTGGCTATTGTAAATAATGCTGTTATGAACATTGGGGTGCATGTGTCTTTTCAAATTAGAGTTTCCTCTGGACATACACTCAGGAGTAGGATTCCTGGATCATATGGTAAGTCTATTTTTAGTTTTTTGAGGAATCTCCTTACTATTTTCCATAATGGCTTCACCAAACTACATTCCCACAAACAGTGTAGGAAGGTTCCCTTTTCTCCACACCCTCTCCAAAATTTATCGTTCATGGACTTTTGAATGATGGCCATTCTGACCAGTGTGAGGTGATACCTCATTGTAGCTTTGATTTGCATTTCTCTGATAATTAGTGATATTGAGCATTTTTTCATGAGCCTATTAGCCATTTGTATGTCTTCATTGAAGAATTGCTTGTGCCCATTTTTGGATCGGGTTGTTTGCTTTCTTGTTGTTAAATTGTATGAGATGTTTATATATTCTGCAAATTAAGCCCTTGTCAGTCTCAGCTTTTGCTCAATATTTTCTCCCATTCCATAGATTTTCTTTCTGTTTTGCCTACGGTTTCCTCTGTTGTGCAAAAGCTTGTAAGTTTAATTAGGTCCCATTTGTTCATTTTGCTTTTATTTCTATTGCCTGGGTAGACTGTCCTAAGAGAACAGCGCTAAGATTCATGTCAGAAAAAGTTTTGCCTAAGTTTTCTTCTAAGAGATTTATAGCATCTTGTCTTATGTTTAAGTCTTTAAGCCATTTCGAGTTTATTTTTGTGTGTGGTGTTGTTACCAAGTCCAAACTCTTTCTGCTTGCCTCATGAAAGCCAATAAATCGGGAGACGAGGTGTTGGGGCAAGGAATAGCAACTTTATTCGGAAACCCAGCAGACCAAGAGGATGGCAGACTAATGTCTTGGAGAACCACCTTGCTCCAGTCAGAATACAGGCTCCTTTTCTACAGAAGAACATGGGAGGGGGTGTAGTTGATTGTTGCAAACAGAAGTGGAATGGCTTGTAACTATTTTGTTTAATAAATATTAACTGAGCATTTTTTTGTACCAACATTGTTCTAGGCACTTTTACATATGCCATTGATAAAACATAGAAATGAAAAGGAGGGGCTAGAGATAATTTATATAACTTGATTATTATATATTCCAAAGTAACTTACTGAAGCTACATAAAACTTCACCCTATTCACATGACTATGTGTGTAAGTAGCACATGAACTCAATATTCCTTTTTTTCACTTCAGTTTGGTGACAATCATCTTATTCATTTATCTGAAACATTAGACTCTGTCTTCTAAGGAGGTGTTCATCCAACTACGTAAAATTTTCATATGGGAAACTTAGATTGCTTCTAAATGTTCTCCCATGAAAGAAATAATCTGTAATTAGCTTCACTGTGTTTTTCTACTTGCTTCATGAACCAGCTTAGGAAAACGTATCTTACATGCATGAGAAATCTCCTGGCGTGTACTTGAATTCTAATTAAAAGCATTTAGTAATAAGGTGGTAAGGGAAGTCACACAACTGGTTTGATGCCAATAAGTTGCAAGAAGAGTGAGTTCAACATACAGAATTAGAAATCCAGTCACCTGTGAGTAATAAAAAAATGGTACCCAGGCAAGTCTTGAATATCCACTATCCCAGAATCTGATTTCAGTGCTCTCTTTTGCTCAGTTTAAAGAAACATCTGTTAGAGGAACATCAAAATATATTATTTACAGTACAATTTTGTTCCTTTACAATTGCATAAGTTGTAAACTGCTTTTAAAAATCTCACCATCTGAAAGTTGCCCTCTATGAAATTGATTTGACTGTTCAGAAATCTTTTAGTTATCTAGTTTTAGATAGTTTTATCATCCTCTACAAGTGAAAAGCTAATTATCTAGTTTATTTTTTTGTTTGCTCCATTGCTGTTTGCAAATACCCTCTATGTCCCAGGCTAGCCTCCGTGAGAGGAGGGTCTTTGCTGTGTTCACTAATGTGTCCTCTGAGCCTGGATCAGTGCCTAGCAATAGTATGAGCTCAATTCTCACTTATTAAAGGAATTGATCCTACGCTAACATACTAGGAATGTTTTGCTTTCTAAAGTACAGTATTGCCCCAACACTTGTATTAAATACCAGTTCTCAATTATTCCATTACCAGGCTGCATATCATAGTGTTTCCAAATGCTTGGGCACCTTGGATTTTCCTTTGTGACTTGTCATTGTGCTGTTTGTATGAGAAGATCTGGTAAAAGACTCACCTTGAAGATACTGAGTAGGATTTCAGTTCTAATTCCACTCCCTGCATGACCTTAGGCAAGTCATTAGTATGTGACAGCTTTATGTCTGACACACAATAGGCACTTAAAATTCTCTTCCTTCCAGCCTACGCCACCTTTCCTTCCTATGTAAGATAATATTTGTTCTCAGTGTAACATTGTAAATATGTTGATTTTTAATTGACATTTGCAATAAGCTGGCAAGTTTTGTAACCCATTTTTAACCCATCAGGCTGTCATTCTCCACAGAAATAAACCTCATTCTTATGCAAATGTCGGGGAGGAAGAAGGTAAAATGTGTGCTTAGTCCTTTGGAGCCCCCAAAATCCTGGTTTCGGGTCCTTAACAAATGAAATAAGAGCTTTGAGGCCATTATTCTTCTCACTCCACAATCGAATCGCCTTTAGCAATGCAATACAGTGTAGTGAAAATGTGCACTACATTGGGATCTAAATAATCTTAATTTGACTTTATGCTACCATTGACTGGTCATGTGACTGGACAAATCTGTTAATCTCTCTGCAAAATGGAGATTATACTATGGGTCTCGCTAGCCCCTCTCACAATGGAGATAATGCGATAATGTATGTGAAATCATTATGCCATATAGATGGAAGCCATTAACAATTTGAATATATCGCTATTCAACAGTGAATTTATGCTATATTTCTCTTACTGATGTTTCATCGCATATATTTCTTTGCCTCTTGTCACTGTCTAGCATTCACCAGTGTTAAAGATTATATTATTAGATGGGAGGGATTTTCAATTTCAACTATATAAACTCACTATATAGCCCAATCTGGCTTTCTAGAAGTACCACAAGTAATCACCTAATTGTTCTCTAACATGTAGCTTTTACTTGTTCTAATATATAAAAATTTTAAAACATTGCAATTAATATAAGTATCAATATATTTTGTATAATTCATGCAAATATTGATATATGTATTAATGTATTTATTGGATGAATTAAAGTAAGTTTCAGGGAATTTTCTCTGTCATAAACTATAAATACTGCATTTCAAGATATGATAGTGAGACATTTGTTCATCAGAAAATATGTTTCAAAAAACAAATATTACCAAAATCTATATGATATAATCATTTACAAATACAATCCACTTGAAAATATAAATGAATATATAATCCATTTGCCATTTAGTTTTGGACAAAAATCAAAAATTAAACTTACAGTGTTTCCTTATGCCCATGTTACATGTAATTTGATCAAAATCTGTCCAGTATTTTAAAATAACAAAAGGTCATGGAACAGATAAAAGGAAAATTCCAAGAGGTTGCGTTCAAAAATCAACTTCATTCTGTTTAGTTAAATGAGTCCATATTTATCCATTATGGCAATTCCCTTCATTTAAATTGTGAGTGTTTCTCAGTCATTTTTAATGTCACTTTATA